AGAAATCCAAGAGTTTTCCTGTTCCTGCTGTTACTATTCCAGTAAACACACACACAGACACACAAATACGTGTGTGTGTGTGTATATATATATATGTATATATAATCTTCAATGCATAAAGAAAAAGACCCCATCGTTCACAGAGTGACGTGTCCAAGACTGAGGAGCCTCATCTGGTTCTTCTTGCTGGGTCATTACATAGCAGAGAACACCACAATAAAATAGTGCACACAAGACTAAGATTTCAGTCTTAAGGGGGTCTTGCTTCTTAAAGTTTTTAAATGATGAAAAACAAACCACTGGTGACTTAAAAATTCAGACAGTAGAGCCGAGCGTTGGTGGCGCACGCCTTTAATCCCAGCACTTGGGAGGCAGAGGCAGGCGGATCTCTGTGAGTTCGAGGCCATCCTGGTCTACAGAGCGAGTTCCAGGAGAGCCTCCAAAACAATACAGAGAAACCCTGTCTCGGAAAAAAAAATTCAGAGAGTAGGAAGAACTGTAGCAAATGAGACAGAATTCAAAAGTTTCTTAAAAAGAAAATCTTCAATTTAGTTAATAAAATCATTTCTTTTTTTTCAGGTTCCATTAAGCCCTTGATTTCTACTAAATGATGCTAAGAAAAACTTAGTTCTTTATTATAATAAAAAAAGGATTCTTAACACGTCATCTTCTCAATTGTCAGTAACAGTAGCAAAAACAGGATATCCTTTTAAACTATGTAACCTATTAATGCAATTTCAGACTGCTTGTTCTCTTCATATCACAGGACATGTCTCATGTAACCTCAGTAGCTTACCCACAACTGAGCAAAGTCAAGACTCCCTGTGGGTGGCCTGGATACTGCTCTAACACAGTGTCCCAAGGTCACAGAGGCACTCACTGCTAATGCAGTTCCCACTGCTTGGTTAATTAGAACACACGGAGGATAACTGTGTCACTGGCCTAGCAAAAGCAAATCTGCACACTCCAGATCTATTCTACCTTTTTTCCCCCAAGACAGGGTTTCTCTGTGTTGCCCTGGCTGTCCTAGAACTCCTTCAATAGACCAGGCTGGCCTCAAACTCACTCACAGAGAGCCACCTGCATCTGCCTCCCCAGTGCTGGGATTAAAGGCATGTGCCACCAACACCCAGCACTTCTTCCTCCTGAGTTACTCTTTCCCAGGACAGGACGAACTGATACAGGGACCAGAACTCTGACAAAAGCTGCACTGGGCCTGGCAGAGCAAATATCCCACGATGTGGTAGACTCTAAGTGGCAGCAGTTACACCATGCTGGAAACTAAGACTGGACTCAAGAACAAAAGCCAATGATCTTGTGGGAGTCAGAGCACACCTCAAGGAATGACAACCATAGTAACTTACTCAGAACCCCCCAGAGAACCAGAACTGAGTTTATAATCAACCAGACTTCTGGCCCCACCAAGATACCTGCTCTGTCAGCTATGCAAAACCAAACCATACAACCTCCAGTTTCTGTCTTTGATGCCCTCTCCTGGCCAATGTCAATGTTTCTGTCAGCCCCCGGAAGACTGTTGGGGGTCACTGACCATCTTTGATCCTCCTGATGGGTCCCATGACTAAAACTTTTTTTTTAACTAAAACTTTTTTACTTTATTTTATACTAAAATATTAAATGATAGAATTTCAGAAATCTAAAACATAATGGAATTTAGCCATTTCTTCTACAATAGGCCTTGTTTCTCTTTGTGGTAGACAACCAGTGAAATTGTCATTTTCCATACTGGGAAAAAAAGCTTCCTACAGCAAAGAGACAGAGAAAAGAGAAGAGAAAAGAAGAGAAGAGAAGAGAAGGAGAGAGAGAGAGAGAGAGAGAGAGAGAGAGAGAGAGAGAGAGAGAGAGAGAGAGAGAGAGAGAGAGAGAGAAAGAAAAGGAAGGGGGAGATCAAGCTCTACAGCACCACCCTGTGGACTGTCCAAATTCTTAACAAACTGAAGTTCATTAGAGGGGTACTGGATTCCCAGGATTTCCCTCTAGGTGTTTCCCATCAGATGCTGTAGCAAAGCAAAATTTTGAAAGCTTTCAGAAAGAAATTGGTCAAGAATTTCTTAGAACTATTTTTATGAACTGGCTGAAGATAAAGAGAACTACAAAAAGTTTTATGAGCAGTTCTCAAAAAATATATAGTTTGGAGTTCATGAAGACTCTCAAAACCAGAAGAAGCTATCAGAGCTGCTGTGATGATACACATCTTCTGGGAATGAGGTGGTGTCGCTCAAGGACTACTGCACCAGAATGACAGAAACCAGACACACATCTATTTCATGACAGTTGAGACCAAGGACCAAGTTGCTAACTCAGCCTTAGTGGTGCGTTGTAGGGAGAGACCTCACATATCCACAACACTGACCACGGCCCCCATCTCTCCCTGACAGCAAGGCTTGGAAGTGATCTATATGATGGAGCCTACTGATTAGGATAGTTAGTCACAGTCAAGGAATCAATGGGAGAGCAAGACCCTAGTGTCTGTTACCAAAGTCAGACTGAAACGTCAGAAGGTAAAGAGGAACAGAAAAAAACAGGAAGAGAGAAGGGCAAAGTCTGAGAACCTCTGAACAATTATGAAAAATACCTTGGGAAAAATGGTTAAAAAGATGGTTGTGTCAAACTGATTGGGGTCATGGCAATGTTGTATCGTTTAAGTTCCCATGGGTGCACAGCAAACATGGAGAGAATCAAGAAAGCTCAAGTCCATTATCAAAACCTTAAGGCAAAAGGCAGAGGCTGGCAAGAATGACAAGTCTGCAAAGGCTCAGGTCATCCTGCAGCTCCTGCTTCAGTCCTGAAGATCCAGACACATGCAAACAGGATCTACAGGATGAGCAAGCTTGCTCTAGGTATATGAACATGATGTCAGTGTGGATGACACCAGTGCTGCTGTGACTGAAGAAATGCCACCCCTGGAAGGACTTGACGACACATCATGCATGGTAGTAGACTCAGCTCCATCAGAACCACATATTCAATGTTGACCTTTGTTCATTCCAATAATATATTTTCCAGGATATAATTTTTGTTTTTGTGAAACTAGGAAAGATAAAATTTCTTTCTACTTGTAGCACTGTGATACTGTGGGCTTGATTCAACAGGTTGGAAAAGCATTTGTTGTAAGTAATGTAACTTACTAACTTTGCAATCAAGCTGGATTCCTTAGTCACTGAAGTATTCTCATATATTTCATTTAAGGAAAAATTTGTTACGATGGCTTGAGTTTCATATCCTACAGTCCACGTCTTAACTACAGTCCATGTAGTTAACTCTTTATGTACCAGTCTTGGAAGTAAGAACACAGGCTGAAACAACTTGACAGGAATTCCCTGTGTTTTCCAAAGTAAAGTACCTAGGCTAAAACCCTACACTTCCCCATGTCTTGTGACACAGCAAGACTTGTGACTGCAGATATAGTGCTCAGTCACAGTCTGCTTTAAAAGATAAATACAGATGACAATTTAAAAAAAAAGAACAAAAAAATTACTGACCAAAATCAAACAAGAAACAATTACTAACCATACAGACTTCTTAATTCTTAATTGCCAAGAATAATTCTCAGTTTTAGCCTGGGTCAATAAAATTAAATAAGCAAGGTCACTAACCTGAGACTGTGACTGTCCTCTGAGCTCTCAAGTAACAGACTAACAAAACACAACCATAGCACTGAGGCTGGAGTCTAACGAGGAAAACTCTTGGGAGTCAACAGGAAGATCTGCATCTTCAGCATCTCCAATACCTAGATACAGCCCAGACTGGCTAATCAGGAAGGGCAAAGGCGCATTACCAACCCTCCAAGAGACTTTGATAAAAGCTAAGGAGTGGAAACTACTGTCTTTGAGGAATTTGGCAAGAGCCCCACAGGTGACACAGAACCACATACTAGTTCCCAACTTGACTTCCACACTATAATCACCAAGAAAGGGCTTTAAAAATGCCAAGGCTAAATGGATATAGTAACACACACCTGTAATTCTAGTTCTCCACAAACAGAGGCAGAAGGATCACGGCCTGTTTGAGGTTGGCCAGATCTGCATGGCAAGTTCCAGGTGGTCAGGGAGGCATAGTCAAGACCTTGTCTCAAAAAGAAGAGGAGGAGGACTAGAGAGATGGCTCAGTGATAAAAACAGTGGCTGCTCTTCCAGAGGACCTGAGTTCCATACTCAGTACCCATACAGTGGCTAGCAACCAACTGCAACTCCATTTCCAGGGGATCTGACGCCCTCTTCTGACCTCTGTGGATACTAGGCATGAATGTGGACATTCAAGCAGACAAAAACACCTATATATATGAAAACAATTCAAGAACTTTAAGCTTTACTGACTTTTTGGTTTTTTAAGGCAGGGCTTCTCTATGTAGCCTTGGCTGTCTTGGAACTCTCTCTGTAGACCAGGCTAGCCTCACAAAGATCTTCCTATCTTTGCCTTCAAGTTCTGGGATTAAAGGTGTGCTCCACTACCTGGCTGCTTTACTGATTTTTTTTAAAAGAGATTTTAACAGTGTAGCTAACACTGGCTTATACATGGAACACCAACATTCATTCCCAGGCAGCCTGGGCTGCACAGCAAATTAGAAGTCAGCCAGAGTTGTGTAGCAAAAACTTATGGAAGCACTGCTCACTAAAGCACCAATGAGGAGTTCACCAAGCCTTTCACATCAAAATTAGTCTACAGAGTACAGTCAAACATGATAAAACACTAATGTCTGCAGGAAGGAGTAGAATATAGACTGCCTTTTAAAATTATTTTATGTATGTGTTTGGCCTGCATGCATGCATGCATGAATGTGTACCACATGTGTGCCTGGTGCCTATGGAAGTCAGAAGGGATCAGATCCCCTGGAGCTGGAGTTATAGATGCTTATGAGCCACAATGTGGGTTTGGGAAAGAGCAACAAGCGCTCTTAACTGCTGTACCATCTCCCCAGCCAATCATTACCTTACTTTAATACAACTCATTCATACAATGAAAATAACAAAAAGTCCACTTACCCCACCCATTGTGATCCCATCAATAAGGGCAACATACGGTTTCTGACAGGATGCTAAAAGAGAACAAACTTTAGTTAGAATATGTAAAATACATCCACATTCTAAATATGTGTACTCTAGTTTCCTTGTTAATTTTCTAAAAAAAAAATAGGATGTTTATGGTATTACACTGTGAGCTATAAACTCCACTAAGATTCATGGGAAGAGGACTCCTACAAGAACTCATTTCTCGCATGAATGCTTCACATGTCAGTCCCAGCTCCCTCTCCCACCCCTCCTCCCTTGTCCCTCAACCAACCCCCCAACCCCTGACCCAATCCCCACATCATTCCCCAGGGAGGGTGAGGCCCTCCTTGGGGGGATCTCTAAAGTCTGTCATTTCATCCAGGGCAGGACCTAGGCCCATCCCCATATGTCCAGGCTGAGAGAGCATCTCTGTTTGGAATGGGCTCCCAAAGATCATTCATACATCATGGTAAACACTGATCTACTACCCAATGCCCCAGTGATTTCTGTGGCCTCCTCCCTGGCACTACATAGGTCGGATGCATCGAATGTCTTGCTGTGTTTTCAACTTAATTACAGCTTATTTGGACACACTCCCATCATTAGTCAGGGCACGTTTGTATACTGTTCTGTAAATTGGTTTTAGCCACAAAGTGCTGTTAATCTTCTAAAATCCAATGAACATTTATGGTATTATACTATAAATTCTAACTCCACAGATTCATGGAGGGAAGTCTCATATCAGAGAGGCCAGTTCTCCTTAAGTTAGGGCAAAATAAGTCCTATGCTGTTAAAATCAATTTAAAATATGTCTAAAAGAATACACTACAGATTAACGATGGCAAGGCTTTTGAAAGGGGCTAAGGTTCTTTCTGGTTAGAGAAAGGAATGGTAGTGAGGAAAAGCACAAAAGGGGTTGAACTTTAAATTTAAAATGTATTATTCTTATAACATGTAAAATTAGAATATTGCTACTATGTATAGACTTATGGATATAAATGCTGTATTAATTTATCTTTTCGAAACATGTTTGACTAAGGTAAATGCAACTTCAAGTCCACAGAAACCTAGAATTCTGATTTTAAAGAAATTTCTACTCCAGAGTTCCTAAAGAAACAGAAAAATGGTACTTTGTCTTATTTGGAATCCTAGAATGCAGGTTTTCCTGTCTCCCGAGAAAGCTAGTTAAATGATCAAGAGCCCGTATTTTCACATTGATTTTAGACAAACACAGAATAGTTTTACCAGTTTGACCAAAAAGTAATAGTGACTGTTTCCATAAAGAGTACCTATTGGTTGCATTATAACAAATTACAGCACCAGCCCAGCTCTCAATTTCATGTTCAAAGGGTAGAGCAGACCACACACATACCAATGGCATTGTTCAGAATATATTCTTCTCTGAAAAAATCTTGAGACATATTCTGCCTTGTTTTTTTAGCTTCTGAGATTGCTAAAGTAGGAAAGAGAAAAAAAATGAAGGAAAGAACAATTACAAATCATAAAGATGGCTTTCAGTCAATACAGTCAAAAGTCCTGTAATCATTAGGTGCTGGAGGGAGGGGAACTTACAGATGGCTTTAATATTTGAAGTCACCCATATTGATGACACATTACCCTTTGTCAGAGACCCATAGTCCAACGTCAATGCTTCAAAGCAAAAATTCTTCTTTTACTTATTGTGCTGTGAATATACACACATGAACACAATTGTCTACACACAAATGCACGCACAAATGTACACATTCTCTCACACACCCAGATTTTCACCCACAGTTCCTGGCACCTGTGCAACACAAGAACTTCTCTACCTAAAGTGGGTCACAGTCTCTATTCCTTTTCCTCCCATTACTTAGAGCTGATCAGAGACATTCTGGCCTGAATCACAAGAACCCCATTTGAAGAGTCCTGTTCCAGACCTCAGAGAAAGGAACAGGCAGAGAAAGCAACAAGGATTTAGACACACAAGACTTGCTGATTCCCATTGGTCTATTTGCATTAACTTATACCGATCACACTTCTGCATGTTCCTCCATGCTTCTACAATGAAACTCTCAGGGAAGTCCAAAGGCTGCAGAACAATTACAGATAATATACTGAGAAGAATACATCCTCAACAACGCCATTGGTGCAGTGTGTTCTCTGCTCTGAGTGTTGAAATTTAACAAGATTCCTGATGGGACAACAGGAAGAGGTTCCACACAAGCAAAGAGGACATGGAAGCTCCACACCCATTTTCCCACACCTTGTCCCATCCCTGTACCCTTCATGAAAAAACAGTACATGTAAATGACTGAGACGCACTGTCTTACGCAATGTAAGTCACCTCTAGGTAACCTAAAACATCCAATGTAAATTTTTGCCACAGGGTATTAAGGGAATAATAAAAAGGAAAAAAAGTAACTTTTTGGTACAAATATAATTTTTGCCAAACTATTTCCCATTTACAGTTAGTTGAATTCATAAGGCAGAAACATCAGTCACCAAGGGCTAACAATACTTAAGAAAGATCTGCTGGGACTGTGCCATTACAATGTAAACAAGGGGTAGTATCCTGAAGAAGAAAAAAAAGCCCTTATCTGTTGTCCTTTGTTGAGCTAGAGCCTCACTTACCAATTCCAAGAGTAGCTTTCCCCCAAGCCTTTTCAGAGTTCCTTCTAATTTTATTTTAAACTAATTTTATTCAAATCAACTAGTTAAATATTGTGGTGGTTTGAATGAAAATGGCTCCCATAAGCTCAGAGAGGGAGTGACACTCCAAGAAGGAGGTGTGGCCTTCTTGGAGTAGGTGTGGTCTTACTGGGGGAACTGTGGCATTTGGGGCAGGCTTTGAGGTTTTAGAAGTTCAAGCCAGGCCCAGCATCACTATCTCTTCCTGCTGTCGTTGGAACTAGATGTAGAACTCTCAGCTACTTCTCCAGCCCATATCTGCTGGCATGCCACCATGCTTCCTGCCATGATGACTACATGCTAAATCTCTGAACCATAAGTCAGTCCCAGTTAAATGTTTTCCTTTATATTAAAGTTAAATGACATACACCTTTAAATTTTTTCTGAGTGTCTACTTGTAGGATCTTCTAGAATTTCCATTTACTGTTTTGCACATATAAACTAGAATAATTCTGGAACTTAGAACTATATTTCTAAACAAGAATATAAAGTTAGTCATGTGGCAATTTTGGGGGGTTCACAGCCACACCCCCACCCCCAGGTTTCTTTCTGTGCTTTTTGCTTAAGGGTGAAGAGAAGCCCAGATCTCTCAGCGCCCTGCTCTGGCTGCCTACTGCAATTCCTCTCCTGTCATGAACTCCCCTGGAACCATAAACCAAAACAAACCCTTCCTCCTGTAAGATGTCATAATTTTTCAGCAAAGTAACAGACACTCACACTAGGGACAACTCATATTCAGAAACTGCTCACAGCAAGAAGCAGCTAAACTCACCAATGCAGTAGTCTTTGCCATGTGGAAACTGACAAGACCGTGGCCACACTCTAAAGAACAGTCACTCCCAGGGGATAAAAACCATATTTTAAAATATTTATGTTATGGTTGCTAAGAGATGGAGCAAAGGCATACATGAGACCCTGGGTTTGATCTCTAGTATGCGTATGTGCACAAGTGCACATACACAAATAACACACAGACACACGCACACACAGTCTTTGACTTACTGCTCATAATGCAATGATTTATATAAACTCACAAATTTGGTAAACAAATCAACCCAGAGGTTGTTGTCTTTTAATAATAAAACAAATATGCAAAATCGTAACACAGGAAAAAAATCTCTGAATCCTACCAATTCCATAAGAACAACATATAAACTGTAAAAATCCTTTTCAACAGAACAACCAGCAGTGACAGCAATGAGTTCATAACTCTCATCACAAGAACAAATATCTTTAATAGTTAAATACATACAGACTGATTGAACAATAATAAAAAACAAATTTTAATTTTCGTGTCTTTAAACACGTAACAGTATAGGCTATCACCCTAGCTCCACTCCCAGAACGTGCGTTCTAGATCGTGAGCAGTGGGAAGTGATGGAAGCGAGTGTGCCTTGAGTTTGGATGAGAAGTCCTCACATGGTGATGATGCTGGTGACGATGTGGGGGTGGGGATACATGCCACAAGAGGAAAACAAAATATCAGCACTGTTCAGGGTCAGTGAAATAAAATCTCCATTAGAATGGTAACAAATTCTTTTTTTTAACTTTAGAAGAATTATTAACATATAGCAAACAATTCTAAAAAGCCAATCAAATAAGATGTACCTCGCGCAATTCCCAGTACTTACTATTCCAGGGGCACTGGTTTACAGTGGGCACTTTACCTTTGATGTCCCCTCCAGCACAGAAGGCCTTTCCTCCAGCTCCCTTTATGATGATCAGGAACGTCTCAGGGTCCTGTTCCCACTTCTACACAAACACAAAGGATGGTGGTGGCTTTTGAGGGCACAGTAAATACAAGCTCATTTAAGATACACTCACACACATGCGTGTGCACTTGTGTGGCCTTTCCTAAAACACACTCAGAGGAATGGATCCCATCCATTTCACTTCTTTTTCTTTCTAAGTGCAATCTGCATTCCAGGAATATCTGTCAAAGCTGTAAGATTAAGATGAATAAGTGCGTGCCTAATAGCACTGTGTTACTTACACTTATGAGTCAAGTGAACAAATCCACCCAAAGATTGCTAGCATGTGGTGCAGCAATAACCTTTTCCCCATTGCAAGACAGGACTGTTATACCAAAAAAGTTATTATAGTCAAGCTACTTACAAAGTTCTTTAAATATGTGGGTGGGTGATGAGGGTTTGGTGAGGTCAGAAAATAAAATGAGCATGAGCGTGAGGTGCAGTAACCATACTACAAAAAGATCATCGTTCTCACTTCCTCACAGCTGAGGAAAGTGGGGTTCAGAGATTAATATGCCTAGCCTACAGAGCTGAATATTCAGAAATCCAAGTTTCAAGTACATGCCTGACTTTCAGCCTTACACTTTCTACTGTCTCATGCATACCACTTTAAAACCTATGACCTTCTTTAAGGATGGCTAAGAAATATAAAGGGTATGAGGGTTGGGGTGTAGCTCAGTAGAATACTTGATTAGCAGGCACTGTGGGGAGAGGGGAGGGGCAGAATGAGGGTCAAGCAGCAAGAGGAAGGAGGAGCTAGGCAAGCAACTTAAAATAGCTGCCTCACAGGGTGTGGAGGTGTACACCCCCAGTCCCAGCTCGAGGAAGGATAGGTAGAAGACGGTAAGTCTGAGGCCAGCCTGGGCTACCTAGCTAGACTCTGGCTCAAAAACTGAATGACAAACTGTCTTCCATACAAAAGGTCAGGTAGCAGCACATTAGACTGGTACAGGTTAGGTCTCAGATCTGGACAAATGGCTAACTGAGGTCCCTGTTTTACATAGCAAAGTGGACCTGGCCACCAAGTTCTAACATACTTCGGTCCCTACCTGAGTACAGGAGGCATACCCCTACCCGCTGCCCTAAACTTCTCCAGCCCAGAGCTGAACTGCCCTTTCCCCAGCTGCCCTTCCCTGTATGATCCAGCCATTTTGGTCATCAGGCCCATTTTTGTCTACGTTTAACTCTCCTGGTCTCCAGGTTCTTCGGGGCCCCAGAGGGTGTAATAGAAAATGCCCACATGGTGGTCAGACCAGAGGGCACAGCAGGAAAATGCCCATGTGGTGTAGCATGCTTCAGGAGTCAGGGAGGCACCCTTCCCCTCTCCTCACATGGCCTGATAGAGGGTTGTGTTCACTCTGGACTGTCCCAGCTGTCCCGGTCTCTGCCCATGCTCTCCCTTCTATCCACAGTAAGCCTGCTCCACCAAGCTGAGGAGCAGTCACATCTTCCTTCCTACTACTTATTTTCATCCATCTGGTGCGAAAGCCCGGAACTGGCATACACGAGTTCCCTTCTAAGGGATGCAGCCTCCCCAACCAGGCCGATTTGACTCTCCTAAGGTGTGTCTGGACCACTTGTTTCTGCAGGCTTCTGCCACCTGCCATATTAGCCTCCAAATCTTAGAGTCCAAATTGTTAGCTACTTCTTCCCTCTACTTACTCTAACCTCCATGTCTTGTCTACTCAGTAAGTATCCCCTCTCTGACTCCTAGAGCCTACAATACCATCTGGGATGCCCAGCACATGGGCATTTTCCTGCTATGCCCTCTGTGGCCCCACTTACCACTCTCCCTCTATTGGAGCCCCTCCCTCTCCCAAGCGCCTCTCAGTCACCTCTTCAGATGTGCTCTCTATCTGCTCCATTCATCTTTCCTGCCTGCTTTGTCTGCTTTTACTATAGAAGCTACAAGGGCCGGGCAGTGGTGGCGCACGCCTTTAATCCCAGCACTTGGGAGGCAGAGGCAGGCGGATCTCTGTGAGTTCGAGGCCAACCTGGTCTACAGAGTGAGTTCCAGGACAGCCTCCAAAGCCACAGAGAAACCCTGTCTCGACCTCCCCCAAAAAAAAGCTACAAGGGCCCCTATTAATGTCGAAAGGGACACCTCTCCTCTGTGATTTGTGACATTTCTCTGACATGTCTCTCAGTCTGTTTGGGGCAGGCCTAGATTAGAATTCTTGTCACCATGATACCCCCATATGGCCTCTCTCAACTCCTTCCTCACCTCCCCCTGGGAACTGCCTGTTAAGTTCCACAGCTACTCTACTTTCCTCTGACCACAACCCTTTCCTTGCCTCCTCCCCCATGAAGCTGCCTGCTTTGTCTCTCCTGGTACCCTCCTGGGTCTGCACATTGCAAGTTTCCTTGCTTCCCCCTAGGAAATGCCTGCTAAGTCCCACAGCTTTGCTGGGCCCTTCTGGGTCTCTGCAACTGTGGTGGTTTGAAAGAAAATGGCCCCCACAGGCTCACAGGGAATAGCACGATTAGGAAGTGCCTTGTGGCTTTGTTGGAGGACATGCACTAGGGGGCAGGCTTTGAGGTATCAAAAGCTCAAGCCTGGTCTAATATGACAGTCCTTTCCTGCTGCCTGAGGATCCAGAAGCTGAGGATCCAGAAGCAGAACTCTCAGCTCCTTCTCCAGCACCATGTCTGCCTGCCTGCCACCATGCTTCCCACTATGACAATAATGAACCAAGCCTCTAAACTGTAAGCCAGCCCCAATTAAAAGCTTTCCTTTAGAAGAACTGCCGAGGTCATGTGTTTGTTCACAGCAATAAAACCCTAACAAAGACGGTGACCTTGTCCCTCCTGAAGTCTTGCAGTCTCTATACCCTCATGGGCTCTACAATATGGGAACATTTCCTGGGGTAGGTTCCAGCTTGTTCCTCCATGTCCCCCACAGCTATACTGTTCTGTCTCTCAGCTCCCTCTTGGAGCTGACTGGAACCCTCCCTATGGCAGAATTCCTTGTGGACCCTTCCTCCTTTTCTCTCAGATTCAGAGACGCTATTAAAACCTCATGTCTTACTGCAAATGGCTTGGCTTCGGTGCAGCTCCATGGCTAAATATGGCACACGTGAGTTCCAGACTCTCACAGATTATAACAACTTCTGCCAGCACAGGCAAATGATCCCAAAGATCTCATCTCTTGTGGGAACACCAGACCTTGAGCAGAGACCCACTTCCCCTTCTGCCTGGGAGTAGGCAGCTGTAAGACAATGTTTAGTAAAAACATGTTTACTAAAAACGATACAATAAGTTCCTGGCCACTTCCCCTTCTGCCTGGGAGTAGGCAGCTGTAAGACAATGTTTAGTAAAAACATGTTTACTAAAAACGATACAATAAGTTCCTGGGAAAGGCCTTCCCACAGAAACCGCCCTGACCTCGACCTTGTCCAAAGACTAACCGCACCTTCAAAAACCCACACACATCCACCTCTGGTGTCAGGGCAGAACCAGCGAGGGTAGAGGAGAGAGCAGAAGCTTCTCCGGTGGGAGCTTTTCTTAGGAAGTTTTTCTTGAACCTTTTTGGAGCCTGTTAAAAGTTCTCTTTATATCGTTGAACAAGTCTCTGTGTTGTCAATCCCCGACACCCTCCGCACGTTCTCGGACACAGGCCGCACAGCAGACGTGACAATTGGAGGTCCCACTGAGATCGTGAAAGCGAGGTAAGTGGACGGGGTTAAGAAACTATGGGGAATAGTTCCGGGAAGCTAGAATCATTGCAGTATCAACTAAAAAAGTTACTTAAAGAACATGGGACTGCAGTCAAGTCTAAAACCCTAGAAGGCTTTCTAAAATCGATTGAACGAGCCAGTCCATGGTTCATTACTGGGGGAAGCTTAAATATTCCAGATTGGGAGGAGGTTCGCCGTGATCTTCATAGACTTTTACGAAAAGAGGGATCTGAGTCCTTGCCCCCTACGACATTCTCCTTATGGAGATTAGTGAGGGGAGCACTTTTGACAGATAAGGTTCGTCACCGCCAGGTAGTTCAGGACACAAAAGAGGCTTTTTAGAGTTACAAGAGACTGAGACTCAAGCCTCCTTGAGTTCAGGGGCAGAGAGTGATGATGAAGAGACCGTGATTGAAACTAGAGGCTCCATTGTTAGTGAGGATGAGGAGGAGTCTCTTAGTAACAACAAAAAACGGGTAGACATCTCCGGGCGCGACCCAAAAGAAGGACTCCGGTCAGAATCGGTTATATCCTTCTCTATCAGACCTAGAAAATGGAAGTAGCTCAGACTCAGACTCGTCACAGTCTGAAAAGGAACGGTTACTTGCTGAGATCGCGGCCCTTAAAAAAGAACTAAAAAAGATTCTAATTAAGGAAAGACAGGACAGGGAGAGAAACCCTTCCCCATACTCTGAAAAAAGGGACTCCTCCTATGAGATAACCCAGTCCTTCTTGGACCTGGAGGGAAGACCCAGAGGAGGGGTCCAATGCTGCCAGGTGGTGGCCCCAGTAATGGAAGTTCCAGATCCGAACAATTCTGGACAGGTCATTAGGCGTCATAACCCTTTAAATTTTAAGGATATTAAACAACTTAAAGAGGCAACTTTAAATTATGGAGAACAGGCTCCCTTTACACTTTCCTTAATGGAATCTTTTGCGTCTCTTAATTTGACACCTGGCGATTGGCAGCAGCTTTGCAGAGCAGCTCTGTCGGGGGGAGAGGAGAGAGCAGAGGCTTCTCTGGTGGGAGCCTTTCTTAGGAAGTTTTTCTTGAACCTTTTTGGAGCCTGTTTAAAGTTCTCTTTATATCATTGAACGAGTCTCTGTGTTATCAATACCCGACACCCTCCGCACGTTCTCGGACACAGGCCGCGCAGCAGACGTGACAATCTCTAAGGTTTTTAAACTGTTCACTCTTAAAGTCTTTATCTGTATAATTTTTCTGTGCTCTGCTCTCAGGAAATCTTTTAAGACTATTGTATAAACAGTCTTTATCTCAGGATTTGTAACTTCGATGGGTGTGGTTAAAGAATCTGTAAAATCTATATCAAAAATTAGCTTAAAGTCTGCAACAAAAGTAGATAGTTTAAAATTTTATACATGGGTAATCTTAACCTGTGTATAAATGCTACAACCTATGATATGTGAATCAACTCTTGTTTAGAAAAATAGATGCTTTTAAATAGCAACCATGTGGCTCTCCTCCATCTTGGCTGATGATCTCATGGGACTAGCAGCCATTTTTAATAAGGTTAAAGAGTGTTAAAGATGTAACGTCACCACCTTAAGATGACAATGTGGCATAAGCAGCAATTACCTAACTTCTTATTACTAATGAGATCTCTATCATTATATCTCTTTTTAGGCTAAGAAGAAAACAGCAGGTTTCCAAATTATTTTGGATTGGTATGGATTTTATGGTTATAAAGGTCTACTCATATTAACAAAGGTTGATTTAGAGACTGACATATAATTACTTGTATTTCTGATACCCGTTCAACACCAGGCTTCTGGAAAATTTAGATAAGTAACAATGTCTGTTTGATAAATAAGGTATATTTGATAGTCAAGGTCTGTTTAGGTTCACAGTAGTATTTGTCTAGATTCTTTGTGCTTGACCACTTTGTTAAGCTTTAGCTATTTGGATGGACTAAGCCATGCAGAAAACTGTGACAGTCTATAATAGTGCACTATAAAACGATAAGAAAAGTCCCCCTGTTCCTAAGACTATATTTATGGTTTTAAAAAAAACTGTGACAGTCTATAATAGTGCACTATAAAACGATAAGAAAAGTCCCCCTGTTCCTAAGACTATATTTATGGGTTAAAGTTTTACTGTGATGCTAAAGGATCTTCAATTAAATCTTCCACTCTCATTTGTAAAGTTCAAAGTAACAGGATAAAGCCATAAAATCCTAGTCTTATAAAAGCTACCAGCTTAAACTGTTAAAGATAATTGAATGCATTTTCAAAGTAAAGCCTCAACTCAGGTATAGTTAATAGACAGATGGTCTTCAAACTCTTTAGAGATCTGCTGAATATGTCATTTACAATGTTTAACGAAAAAGCTTCCCATAATAGACAAAATACTCCTAGTAGGAAGCCTAAGATCTCCAAAGAATATAGATGGGACACAATGACATCACCTAAATTATGGTAACACTAACCACTGGGCAAAGCTGTCCTGTGCCTCACCTGCTGCCAGGGCTCTATACAAGCTGTGGACACTGTTGGTTGACTGCCCTGCTCTGCCTGGTCAGGGTATCAGTCTTCCAAGTTCCTCCTCCACAGGAACACCTCTCAGACCTGGGTCGGGCAGCCCAAGGCCAATGCTGCTGTATGGCAGCTGAAGATTAAATGCTGTCCTGTATGACAGCCAAAGACCTAGGACCATTGCCCCAATGAAGCCATCAAGACCACAGGAGCCTAGGGCAACTGTCTAGGTAGTGGGTCTCTGTCATTTTTATTGATAGATAGGCAATTTGGGTTACACCTCTTGCTACAATTTATCCTTTTCAGAACTCTGATGATACTAACTGTTGCTTTATAAGCACCAAGCACCCAGCTCTTCCCCCTAAGTTCTTCTGCCTTCTTGGTTCTATTCATATGGAGAAGGAAGTGGGGGAGGGAGGGAGGGAGGGAAGGAGGGAGGGAGGGAGGGATCAGGCCTCAGGTTCCACTTTCCAAGAGCTACTAGGACTTCAGCTGAGAAACACAGTTTACCTTGTTCCCAAACTCTGAAGAGATAAACTTACAAAACAGGTTCAATGTAACTTTGTGCTATTCCTTTATTTAAAGTAACTTGCTTTACAATGACTGCTCTTGGAATCAGCCACCTGTGTCTCCTGGGGAATGACTGCCTAGAAAAGTGCTTAAATTTTACGTAAGTTCAGAGAAAGTGTTTTAAGATGTATAAACACAGGTTGTAAAGGTGTAAGAAAGCATTTAAAGGTATGTAAATGCAAGTTGCAAAGGTTTAAGAAAATGATTGAAGGTATATGGAAAATAATTTCCTATTTCTCTCCTCCTCACTATGCTATTGTTATACTAAAACATCAACATCTATCACTGGAGCTCTGATGAGCTGGTAAAGCTATTGTGGACACCACAGCTCCATAGTGCTGAAAACATCTCTGCCCAATCTAATTATCCAGCCCTCTGGAAACGGTGTTCATGCTTCCAGCTGAGAATCATTTTGGGTCCTCAGGCTTCTACTCAAAGGCATGAGTTTTTCCACACTGTGGATTTCAGTACAGAGTACAAACAGTGGGAATGCTAGCATATCTAAAAGTTACCTCTTTTTGTAAACTTAAAAAATTCTTTTAAGCTTCAGGAAGTCAACTTGGATCCACCTCTCCCAGGTCAAAGGGACTCCAGATAAACACTCCTAAGTTTTCCCTACCTGCCTATTCTTGAGAGTGGGATCTCTCCCATTTCCCTGGTATTGTGACTCCCCTCCCCCAACTACCAGAACCATAGGACTGAAAGTTGCAAATAAACACCCTAGATGGAAAATTTCCCTTAAACTCCTTAACTCTACCCTCTGTTCCTAGTCTATCTGCCCCAGCAGATTTCAAACCAGCAGCACACTCTCCAGCAACCTGCTAGCCTCAGGAGTTCTCTTGAGTCTAGCCTGCTCAGCTCCTAAGCTGCAGTCCAGGTGGTCCAGTCTCACAAACTGCTCCAAGGCAGCCTGCACTTCCCAGGCCCCAGAGGGTCCCGCAGAGCCAGGAGAGCAACTGAAAACAGCCTTCCCCACCCTTACCCCCCTTTCTCTCAGGCCTTGGACAACATTCCCACTTTCTTCAGTCCTCAGCAATGACTGCACCAATGTCAACAGGAAGAAGTCATAGAAAAGATTGCATCTTCCCTTACCATTTATTATCAACAAAAGGTCAGATTGTTATGTCTCAAACCCAGGCTTATTAACATATCAAAGTGGACTGGGCCACCAGGCTCTCTTAGTACTCCTCAGTCCCTACCTGTTACAGATAAGGTTGGCATACCCCATCCCCCTAAATTTCTCCAGCCCAGAAGCTTCCCTGCCCTTCCCTATATAACCCAGCTATTTTGGTTACCAGGCCCTTTTTTGTCTACTCTTTACTCTCCTGGTCTCCTGGCTCTCCCCTCCCTCCCCTCCTCACATGGCCAGGCTCAGGGTCATGTTCACTCTGGACTCCCCTAGATGTCTCTGCTATGCTCTCCCTTTTATGTCTGGCTATGTCTGGCTATGCTCTCCCTTTTATCTGCAATAAGCCTTCTCCTCCACCATACCTTTCTGTTTCTGAGCTGTCGGCATCACTGTTTAAAAGGTCAGTGATACCAAGGGTGTCAGAACACAGAAAGAAACATGAAAAGTAAGCTCTATGTGAAGCAGAAGGGATGCCTCCTAAGACAGTGAGAGGAGTGGGCAAGGTTCCACAGGAAAGCATCAGTGATGCTGATGCAAGGCAGTCCCCAGATAAAATACCAGGAACGTTCTCCTACAGTGAGTGTACTTGAGAAGGATCTCCACGGGGCTTTCACACTGTTACAGACCTTTAGCTGTGGATAGATCAGCTGGATCATGCTCAGAGACAGAGCGTTGAGGAACTTGGGTCTGTTCAGCGTTATGACTCCTGCACAACCTCTCCTCTCCAGCAGCACTTCCGCAGCTTCTGTATGCATGGACATTCTCTGAGCGAACAAAGAATAATTTCATTAAGTTTTACCATACGCCACAGCAAAGCACACCAAGTACACATCTTTCAAGCAATAACCAAAGGAGTGGCTACCTAGGGGCATCTAACATTCTCAGACTATACAGATGGAACAGTCCCAAAGTAAACCATGCACATTTTCTTAATTTTATTTCCAGGTGGACTGAATTAACTAATCTAAATACTGCCTCTTCCTAGAGCACCCTGGACTATGAGATACTCGTAAATCTTGTAATCTGTTACTACATTCAAATTCTCCATTAGGTGCCTAGAAAATGGGGAGAGCAAATAATCATTACTACAGCAGCTGTGAACAACTTGGGCATGCAGCATCTGGACAAAAGTGGCGGTGAGAACCCAAGGTAGCATAGTGGCACATGCTAGCCATCACCATGACTGTGTGGAAATTCTAAGACACTAAGCATGGGTACAACGAAGGCTGGACGAGAAAATGAGCATGGGAATACAGACAGAAGAGCAGTAAGGCCAGACCACAGCTTCAGACTTGCATGTTCTACATTGGAAAGATGCGGCATTAAGCACTGTGTAACACTACCAACAAAGTTGTCTTCGATCCACTCAGATTAGACGGTACAATGATTCCCTAGGAGCAATCAGTAAAACTAAAAGTGGCAGGTTAAAAAGAACACGAAAACTAAGAGCTATGTGGTGTGAATGAAAAAAGTAAAAAGGAAAGGAAAGGGTGTGGCCACTCCTAGGTATGGTGGAGGAGGAGTTTACTGCAGATATGTGGTGGGGAGCATAGTCGGGGGCAGGGATATGTGGGAAGAGTCTAGAGTGGACATCACCAGACTGAGCTGGGCCATGTGAGGAGAGAGGGAGTGGAAGGGAGAGAGGAAAGAGGGGAACCAGGTGCAGCGGCCAGGAGGCCAAAGGTCCAAAAGGGGCCGGTAACCAGGGCCTGGATTATCTAAGGAAGAGCTCTGGGGGAAGGGCAGCCTGGCCTCTGGGCTGGAGAGTTCAGGGTAGAGGACAGGATATGCTACCATACCCTGTAACAGGTAGGGACTGAGGAATGCTGGGAGAACCTGGCGGTCAGGTCCATTTTGATATGTTAAATAAGCACCTCAGCATTTGTCCTGGGTTTAAAACTTAACATGAAGTAACTACAATACCTGTCAGGGACAGGAGTTTAACTACACAGCAACTTTATAGGATTTGGATGGACGGGGCCACACACACACACACACACACACACACACACACACACACACACACACACACACACACACACACACACAGAGAGAGTTTCGGGGCTTACAGTGCCACCATTCCAAACACTTCCCTTTATCCATGGACGGTAATTTAAACCTCACAGGGGCGTTGGAACACAGCTCATGAATGAAGCTGTGTGAGATTTCTGAGACCCTGTGAGAAAACTCCAAATAATATAATGTGCTCACGTACCTCTCCCAGGTGTAGTGGTAGGAGTGGTTTACTTTAGATTACCCATCATCTTACCCATCATTATTCAGAATGATGTTACAGGCAAGAGCTGTCCTGACAATGTAATACAGCTTGAACTAATGTCAACTTTGCTCATATGACCTTGCTTAATCCTCAGAATGTAAACTGTCTAATTTAGATGAATAAAGTTGGCTATTGCATGAGACTTTAGTCCACCTCATTTCTAGGCTTCACTCTCCCAGATTCACTCCACCAAACAGAGTGGCAACACATGGGAACAGTGTATAGTATTAAACTGGAAGTCAGTGGTCAAGAGTATATACAGTTCTTGTACAGGACCTTAGTTCAGTTCCCAGCAGCCACAGCAGGCTGCTCGTAACTGCCTATTAACTCCAACTCCAGGGGAATCTGCTGCCCCTGGCTTCCATGGACATCACACACACATACCCATGTACAAATACTCACACATAGTCATAATTAAAAATAGTAAAAATGAATCTTAATGGCTCGGAGGTTAAGAGCACTGACTGCTCTTCCAGAGGTCCTGAGTTCAATTCCCAGCAACCACATGGTGGCTCACAACCATCCATAATGAGATCTGGTGCCCTCTTCTGGTGTGCAAACATACATAGAGGCAGGATGTTGTATTCATAATAAATAAAAAATCTTTTAAAAAAATGAATCTTAAACATACACTAAAATTGGAAATTAGTTTAAAATTGTAGCTCAGTGGTGCAGTGCTTGACTAGTAAGTACAAATTCCTCAATTCAATCCTCAAAATCACAATATTTCAAAAATAAATGAATCTAAATTTTTACCTGGGATATGTCAAAACCAAATCCAAATGACTACATTTTGACAGCATAAAACATGTTTTCATTTTCCTTTGTAAATTCATATTGCATATTTAAATCTTATGACAATTTATTACCAGATATTAACCAAAAATGATTAGCACTTAGAAGAGCTTTAAGCTCTGGGCAGTGGTGGTACACACCTTTAATCCCAGCACTCAGAGGCAGAGGCAGGCAGATTTCTGAGTTTAAGGCCAGTCTGGTCTACAGAGCAAGTTCTAGGACAGCCAGAGAAACCCTGTCTTAAAACAAAAATAAAAACAAAAGAAAGGAAAGTCTATTGAACAATAGGAAATGATTTGTCCTTTTAACTTGATAACAAAATTATCCCTGTAAAAAGTTATCCTTCTTAAGCAACTTGACACAGATCAGAAATTCTGATCTTACATGTCAGGTATAAGTAAGCATACACTGTAGAAGCATTAACTATGACAGAGTAAAGGAAAACAGTCAGATACTTTTGTAAGACAGGTTCTTAGCACATGCTGCCCTCCAGACCACATCTATGTTCAGATCAGACCGTGTCATAAAGTGCACTTGCCACAAATTGACAACAAATGCTCTATTGACGAGGCTTTAGAAATACACATAAGAGCTACAGGCTCTACTTTACACAAGCTAAGATACATATTAGCATATAATGCTACAGCAGGTGTTTATTCATACTAAGGTATCCAGCAGATTCTACAAGCGATGGCAAACAATAAAAATTATTTTCTTGTTTTCTAATTTTAAAAAAAGATTGTTTAGCTTTACAAGGTACAATTAACATAATTGCTATGGTATTAGCATTTATTATAAGCAAATAACTGCTAAAGTATAAAGTTATTATTTATACATTATATACTGTTTTTAATTTATTTTATTTTATGTGTATGGGTACTTTGTCAGCATGTATGTCTATGTACCAAATGCTTAAAGTGTCCACAAATGCCAGAAGAGGACTTAAGATACCCTGGAACTGGAATTACATACTAATAGCCACCATGCGGGTGCTAGGAACTGAACCCCAGTCCTCTGCAAGAGCAGTCAGTCTCTTAAGCATTGCTGAGCCATTTCTCCAGTCCACATGCTCAATTTTTAAAACTTAGTATCTTTTGAACATTTAACATCACTGTGTGGGAAATACCATCCTCATTATTTACACACACACACACACACACACACACACACACACACACACACGGAAGCTACAATAAACTAAGCATTTGTCAAAGATTGAGTTGTAGACTCAACATTTAAACTCGGGACAGTCAGTTTTACAAAACAGTGTGCAGGAGGTGGCAAGTCTTACCATGGGAGTCTGAGGGCCATGGTTAGGGAGTCAAGGAAACCTGCCATCCCTAACAATGACACCTGTAAGTTGTATCATAAACAGCCAAGTCCAGACTTACCAGATGCTGCAGAATAACATTGGCTCTCTTGAGTGAGCTGAACCTGAAACAGATGTAGACTGCAATGAGTACAGTAATGCAGGCAATCGTGTATTAATGTACAAACACCAAAAGGCCTTAAACCTTTTCTAAATGTTACTGGGACAAAACCTTGAAAACAGATTTAACAGCAATGAAATGATGTGCTATCTCAAAGGACATTAGCAGCACTCTCCTCCCACGTGTTTTGGGAACTTTCTTGTGGTGGAAACAAATGTCCATCCCCTACTTATAGGACACCAAAGATGAACCAAAGTAACTCCACTAAAGTGCCACCTGAGGAACCGATGACTTTACTGGAGTTACTTACAGAGCATGTATGAGGAGGGATGTGGGTGACTGTAAAGCAGCCATACCACCAGAACATCCTGTCCCAACATGAATGTCAACTATCTACATTGATGGAGTCCCTGCTTCTGTTAACCTTCCATGATCTATAGATCCCGGCACCTTCCAAGACCATGAGGTCATCTATAAATATGACAGATTACATACAAAAGGCTGGGAGGTGCAGGAAGGAAAGACTGGGATCTCAGTGAGTCTACTAAGCCTCCCAGACTCTCTATGGAAAACTGCCAATCATCAACAAACCTGGGCTCAGCTTGTGTGTGTGTGTGTGTGTGTGTGTGTGTGTGTGTGTGTGTGTGTGTGTGTTGTATGTATGTGGTGTGTGTGTACATGTGGGGGGGTGTACACATGTGTGGGGTGTGTGATATATGTGTATAGTGTGTGTGTGTATGTGTTGTGTGTTTATGTGTGGTGTGTACGAGTATGTGTGTGGTATGTATGTGTGTATGTGGTGTATATGTGGTATGTGTGTATGTGTAGTGTTTGTGCACATGTGTGTAGTGTGTGATATATGTGTATAGTGTGTGTGTGTGTGCGTGTGTGGTGCTGCACAAAAAAAATAAAAGACCCAAAGACAGATATTGGGGTTCAAGCTTCAAGCTGAAGATCAGAGATGCAAAGCAGACAAGCCAGTAGATCTTACCTCTACCAAGCTGAAATGTCAATCCTGTCCCCACAAATCCCCAGAGGTAAAAGCTCTCAGTTTCTGTCTCCTCTGTCTCTTACTCCTTTCTCCGCCCAGCCATATCCCTCCTATAACCACCTCCCAAGTGCTGGGATTAAAGGTGTGTGATCTCAGATGCTGAGATCACCTTTGTGTGAGCTGTTTCTTTTAGGACTAGATCAATTTCGTGTAGTCAGTGTGGCCTTGAACTAACAGAGATCTGTCTACCTCTTAATCCAGAGTCCTGACATTAAAAGTGTGTATCACTACTTCTCAGCTACTATAACTAGCTAGTATGGCTGCTGGGATTAAAGGTGTATACCACCACTGCCTGACCTCTACAGCATATAACTGGCTTTGCTTTCTGTACCCTCAGGCAAGTTTTAATAAATCATAAATAATAAATCACCACAGTGTGGTGTGTGTGTGCTGTGTGTACATGAGTTTGTGGTGTATCTGTGTGTGTGTGTGTGTGTGTTGTATGTCTGTGTGTGGTGGGGTGGGGGGGATATGTTTGTGTGTGGTATAGGGGTGTATACGTGCATCTTTTGCAAGTGGTAACAGCTGTTGTGATGAATATGGCTGTTATGCTTGAGGACACCATGTGATCTTGCAATCCTCATCTTTGAGTTTGACTAAATGAGCTATAAGCTTACATCAACTAGAAAACCTGCAAACCTGCACATGCATTTTATACTAGTTCCATTTATAAATGTAAAATGCAGGCATACAGAATCAAGATGTCCTTAAATAAATCCATACAGGGATAGAAGCCATAAAAAGAAATGAGCTACTGACTCAAACATCCCACACATAGAATGAAACTTAAATAATGTGTGCTCCTAAGAAGTAAATCTGAGAAGAAAATACTCTAATATTTCAAGTGTAAGGTATTTTGAAAATGGCAGAGTTCTGGAATGCACAGAAAAATAAGCAGCTGTCAGAGATTTGGGAGAGGAGAGAAATGAATAGTGGAAACACATTTAAACTAATCTGTAAAACACTGTACATGCCATTAGATAATAATTAAAAATTTTGAACAAAATTTCAGTTTAATTATCTGTAAATCTAAAATATTCCACAAACAAAAGTCTGTAAAATTTCAAACTACATTTTGTTTATTTGTGTATAAGGATAGGGAATCTGTATTTTTTTTTATTTTGGTAAGGGTGAGATACAATACCACTCTAAGACACCACTGGGAGAGGTCTAAGTTACTATGACCTCCTAAATAGGCAATCTGAATATACAGACCTTTAACCTCCAGCATGGTTTAGGGAGAAAGGGCCATTTAGCTTATAGGTTACACTTCATCTTGGGGTAGCCAGGGCAAGGACTGAAAGAGAGGTCATGGAGGAACACTCATTACTGACTGGCTCCTCCTGGCTTGCTCAGTTTGCCTTCTTATATACCCCAGAACCACATGTCCAGGGGTAGCACTACCCACATAAGCTGGACCCTCCTACACCAAACAAGAAAATGCCCCACAGGCTTGCCTATTGGTCAGTCTAAGAGAGGCCTTTTCTCAATTGAGGTTCCCTCTTCTCAGACGACTGTAAATAAGTAGAGCACGGTAGCATGGACACGTAGCTCCTAGGAAGATGAGGTAGGAGATCAACTGAGCCCAGGAATTCAAAATCAGACTAGTCAACAAAGTGAGACCCTACCACCAAAGAAAACAAACTAAATCTGTCCTTTCACTCTCCAGTTAGTCATTCCTCAAGCATTTGCAAAGTATGACTTACTAAATCATTCACAGTTATTAGCATGAAGGGAAACCGAAAACTCACAGTGCGTTATTTTTAAAACTGTGTCATCACTATGTAACTATAATACAATCATTAAGCACACTTGAAAATATGTAAGGAATATGACATATAAAAAGTTATGACATAATTTAAAAAGCAATCTACAAATAATAGGCACATTATATTTCCATTGTTTCAAAAGTGCTAGGCTAGGAAAACGGCGAACATACAGCTCAGTAAAAAGTAACCAATAACAGCTGATGTCAGATTGGCAGATGTTGGAGAAGTTGAGAGGGACATGAAGAATATGGGGTTGAAAATCACCTGTATATGGCAGGCATGGTGGTGAACAACTGTGATCCCAGGACTGTGAGGGGAGGCAGGAGGATACTGAGTTAGAGGCCCACCTAAGCAACACAACAGCCCCCCTCCACCACCCAAAAAATATGTATCCAGACGATGGCTCCAGGATAGCGTTTAAGTTTCACTAAGCTGTAAAGTTCAGAAGAGTGCATTTGTACCTTATGGAACTTTTCATTTAGCAAGTGTCTTAATAGGGTTTTTATTGTTCTGAAGAGACACATGACCACAGCAACTCCTATAAAAGAAAGCATTTAATTTAGGTAGCTGGCTTACAGTTCAGAGGTTTAGTCCATTATCATTGTGGTGGAGCATGGGAGTGTGCAGGCAGATGTGGTGCTGGAGAAGTAGCTGAGGGTCCTACATCTTACGGGCAACAGGAAGTGGTCTGAGACATTGGGAGTACCTTGCATATAAGAGAACTCCAAGCCTGCCCCCACAATGACACACTTCCTCCAACAAAGCCACACCCACACATCCTAACAGTGCCACCCCCCTTTGGCATTTTCCTTTAAACCATCACCACAACAAGAAAATGAGAAACTCAAGATTAGGGAAGGTAGTGACTGGAAAGTCCATAAGGAGGGCTTCCAAAATGTAGGTGCTAGCCTGCTTCTTGATCTACTTGACACTCAGAGGAATGCTTGGTTTGTGATCAAACTGCATCTTTATGCTTTGAACTGTTTTCAAAGAATTCCCCAAAGACAGCTTCTCTTGCTCCTGGGAAACTCACAAGGTAGTGACTGAACATCAGAAAACGCTATCACTAGAATACACTGGGATATATCCTTCTTGAACACATCAAACTTAAGATACAGAGAAAAACCAAAGAAGGAATCAGTAGGCACAGCCTTAATGAAAACCATGCCATCTACGATATGCACACTATCTCACGGAACTAATAAACCGCCAGGCGTTGATGTTTTTCGGTGATACAGAGAGCACATAGAATAAATAGCTGAGTAAAAGAAAATAAGAAATAAAACCTAGAAACATCACTATTACCACTTAAAAACATGTTGAATGGTTGTATATAAACAATTGAAACCCAAATGACTTCTAGAAGTTATATTGTTTTCCTTTTAAATTATGCTCAAATTGACAATATGATCAAAAGAAAGAAATCACATATTTGTTTATATAACTCACAATCTTCATTTCTGACCTAGCATATTTTGAATTTGCTTTACCACAAGTGAAGCCTCTTCTGCCCCTAGTCCAGTGTTCCACCTTGTGTCTGTACGGTAGTTTTCTGAAGACCCCTGCCAGTATTTCAAACCTCTGGGCATGACAGCCCAGTTAAATATAAACTAAGCAGGTGAGGCACAGGCATGGGTATTTTGTTTGACGAAATGACTACTACAAAGTGCAAGCAAGTTGTCATTAAAAGGAAAACGTTATAAAACTTAGCCTGACGTGACATGTGACAGGTAATTTAGGAGGATTTTCTAGAAAGGATTTTCACACAGGCTTTGGGCACACTCTGAGACCAGAGATCAAGGTTGAGTGTCACTACTTCAAGGCCTAATTTCAAGTTCAAGCTTATTTCTTAAGACAGTCTTTCCCTGAACCTGTTAGACTAGACTTTCCAGCAAGCCCAGAGCTACCTTCCAGCATTGGCTTTTAAGTGGGTGCAGCATGCTTGGGCAAGCACTTCACCAACTAATCTATGCCCTAATCCCTCATACAGACTTTTAAATCTGTACCACCTGCTTAAATACCTCAACACCCATTTCTTAAAAAAAAATTAAATCTATTTTACTCACTTTTGGAAACTTCTCAGTATTGAAACGCTTACAAGCTACAAACACGCATGTATATGACCGTTGGCTTATTCTCCAGCACAGCAAAAGAAAAAGAAAAAAAAAGTTCTTTCTTTCAAAC